AACAAGAAAGCAGCGGAAATAATTATGACAATCAACCGGTTGTTGACCGACCATAATTTTGTTTGCATTCCAAGATTCTTAGAAGTTGAAAAGAAAATTTTCATGAATGAATGCGCTTCCTTTGCTATTCAATATCCAGTGTCAGGTAGAGGATAAGGATGCAGTAGAAATGTTGTTCAAAACAGTCATTTTATTACAAACCTCTTTGGTGGATATGACTTCAAAGTTTTGTGGTAGAGAGCCAACTTGATAGATTATTGAAGGCTAGAAAATAACCAAGGCAAAATTTTTTTAATTTCGCTGCTGAACCTGGAATCATTTTATTTACTCCAATTGGGAAAATAATAGTAAATATTTTAATTCATAGCAAAATTTTCTGAATGACTCCATTTTTTACACCTTCACTGACAAAATATTCAAAACGAATTCAGGTGGTTTAGCAAAAAAATAACTCTAAAGATTTTGTGGGATATGTGATTCAGAGGGTTTAACGAAAAAGCCTAAATTTGAATTAAATATATATGTACATATTTAAAGCAGTCACTCATCTAAGCATGAACTACAAGAAATTTTGTAGGACTTTGAAGACTGTATGCAGGTCTCTGTATTTAATGTGCTACCTTTAAATTATAAATTTTTTTTTGTCTCACATACTTAACTGTTTAACGATTAATTCAACATATTGAATATCGTTAATAACAATCAAATTTTATTATTTAAAATTAGCTAAAAGTTAAAAATACGAAGAGATAATTCAAATTTCGAATGCTATGCAAACTAGTAATTTTCACTCTTCAATATGTATGAAAATGTGTGTAATAGACATAAAAGTAAACGTAAATATTTCAAATATATTATAAAAAATTTAGATGACAACTTAATGATAAAATAAATTATAAAATCTCAAGTTTAGTAAATTAAAGAATTATTCAACAGAAAATTATTAAACAAATACGAAATGTTTTTATTTGTAGTTTAAACAAAAACTAACTGCTAAAAATAATATGTAATGATTTTGAATTATGTCGATAGTTGTTAATAATAAGAAAATAATCTTTTATAATGATGCATAAATGCGTTCAATATGATTAATTATAATAATCATAATTATTAATAAATATTTACGGTGAAAAATTATGTTGAATTTCTACCAACATTTAGTGATTGTTAATAACAATTTTTTAATTTATCTTTTTATATTTTAACTAATATTTAATGATAAAATCCCATTATTATTAATAATAGATATAGAAAACACGTAGATATTATAAATAAAGATAATATTTAATATTAAAATTTTGTCAGTGGGTTAAACCACAGAGTATATTATTTCAAGGGTCAAAAACACCATTACTCAGCCACTTCCAAGACACAATAATGTTTTCAGGAGGTTTAATAGGAAAATAAAAGAAAAATTCTACTTGGAGCTTTACATATAAAGCTAGATAAGAAACTGTCGAGAAAAATACTAAAATGGCATAAAGGAGTAAAGAACAAATTAACAGAGGAGCCGATGAGTCTGTGAAACATGATACTTGGTGACACCATACGGCTTTGCGGTAGTCAAGCTGTTCATCTATAAATTCTAAACTTTATGATCATACAATTATGAAATACAGCTCTTTTTTTTCTTTAAATAACAAATTAATTTTATCTAATTGAATTTGTATCCTCAAGTATATAATTAACGATTTATCTTGGATTTTATTGAATAAAAGTGGATGAAGAATCACATGGATCAATATCATAAAATATTACAGATAAAAAAGAAGCAAAATAAGGAGGCGAAAAAAAAATGATTATGAATAGATTATTCTGGTGGTTCGTGAGAAAGACTTCAATTCAAGAATCTTTGAAAAGGTTGTGCTTTCTCCCGGATACCTTCACACCGTTTCCTCTCTTCCGATAATCTTCTTGGAGCGCACACGTTAGTTTAGTCAGCACCTGCAAAATTCCTCCACGACCGAAAGGAAAAAGTTGTTCTAAGAATCAGAGTGACCTCGCCTGACAGAACTTGTCGACTGGTTAACTGTATGCTTCCTACCTAGATAATGCGAACAGACTTCAAGACAACTCACGAAACATCGTATTGATTGCTGACACGAAAGGTCTTAGACATCATCAAGCTTCTCTATGAGACAGAATGTTCAACTATTAAGCAGTTTATTTATCTTATACGTATGTGAATGTTGGCTAAATGGTGTATGCGATGTTGTCCATTGTTAATCGTTAATCCTTAACCGTGCGGACGAATGACCAAGACGTTCGTTGACATTCATTATGCTGGAGTCTTGTGACTTGTCTTGGTGCATCGAACGAAGACGAAGATGCAGTGGCCAGTGGGTGGAGCAGGAGCAGCTTCAGTGGAAGTAGGAGCTGCACAAGAAAGAAAACGACATGCTCTGTTGGTTTTTTTTTACTTGACTACTCGAAAAGAATGTAATCTCGTCGAGTCATTCATTCATCAACTGCCTTAGAGAATCACTTGAAGAGGAAACGTTGGTGGATATTTTCTTATACACTGCAACGGCATTTTATACAGGAATCTGGTGTAAAGAGCATCATTATAGACTAAAAGACTCGGTCAGATGATTTTATGAATCATTCAGTTTTCTTTTATTCCACTATGACGATCATTCGAAACACTTAAAGGTGTTTGCAAAGATTTTATAGCTTACTTAACATTGTTTATTGGTGAATCATCACCAAGGGCAATTTCCTCTGTCACACAAACTCGATCGCTCTTTCTTTTTCTTTCAGTCGAGAGAGTGGTCGAGTACGTATATACGATCGTTCATTCACCTGCTTGTAGATCTTCTCTTCTCTCCTCGTCACTATTCTCTGCCACATGTTCTTCACCTTTAACCAAATCCCCTCTTCTACTTTTGACTCATGATCCTGGCTATTAGTTTAGCTATAGATCACGTTAACAGTGGAAAGGATTTCCAGCACTTAGTTTTAACTTGTTCTATAATCTAAATGTATAATGTTACTAAACTTCTGCTCATGATAAGAGCACTTGAAGACATGTTTTGCTCAACATTTATGTTCGTTTTATGGAAATATTACTATGAGAAGTGGCTTAGTAACTTAATAATGATGAGATGAAATGATTGATTGGATTAAATATAATATATAATATCACTTTTAACTCAAATACTCGAGTTAAGTTTGTTAAAAGTAAAATTAAACTTACATCAAGATATATTATGAAAAAAACTACATACTGAAAGTTATTTTATAATTTACAGTAACTTTAAAATTATACTCTTAGAATCTTCAGATTACTTTTCAGGAAACATTGAAAATTTAATTGAATATAATTTCCATACTTTTTATTCCATTGTTTATTAAATTATTACTAGAGTTAACGAGGGATGAAAATTTAATTGAGCTTATACAACTAAGAAATTAACTAATTGAATACACACTGTTTTTCATTTTCTTCTCATTCAGTTCGTTGTAGTGTCGTTAATAAAATACTAAAATTCCTGTTTCAAGTGCAGGACTTTTGAAGGTCATTCAATTCAGTCTATTTTTAGTTATTGCATATGTACAATATTTATTGTTACAATTGAAATAATTTCTAATTAATATTAGGTATTTTATCACTTGACACTGATTTTACTTCTTCATTTACAGCTATTAATTGAATTAAAGTCATAAAATGGACATTGTTGCTAGAAAATATTTGAAAATATTGAAAAAAATTAATAAATTCTTTACTGAAGGCCTTCAAACGATGGACGCCTGTACTTTTGGTTTCAGTCATTCCATTAAATGTGTATGAATAAATTTTACAAATAAAAATTTTTAAAATAATTTTTATATAAATTCCTGAATCCAATTTTTCTGTAATTATCTATTTAGAGTATAGCTAATTTTTGAACCTAATTCTTCTTTTTCTATTTTAATTACTTTTACTCAAAATATTCAGTATAAATAAGTCGACTCCCTATTCAAATATTTTATTCATAATCATTTTTATTTAAACATGAGCCTGAAAACGACAACAATAAAAATTCAAAATAAAATACAGGGTATAAAGTCTGCCCTATTGTTCTCAAATAAAGACGATGCTTAGAAAGAACGAATGAAAATGAAAAAGCTGAATTAATGAATTTCTCATTCCTTTATTAAATGATTATTATTCCACATTTATATTCAAATTACCACTAACATCAAATAATACATCGTGGTATCCATATTGCTATGTAGCTTTTCATCATTGCAAACAGGATTCAAGACTGAGTCACCTATACCTTGCCTGGTAGCAAGCAAAGATGAAGATGGATTACGGTAAATGCGCCGATGAGCCTTGCTACTGTACCGCCATGCCATCACTTAAAGCTCTCAACCATGGCTTCCTTGCATATGCGATGATCGTTCAGCATAGATTTGCGCTTTAGACACATAGACACAGCTTCAGGGAACTCCCGAAGTGTATAGAACTGTGTACAGTGTTCTCCCAGAGGCATGAGGTAGATACCGGTCTGGCTCATCCAGTTCGAAGCCTCGAGCGCTACTCCTGTGAAGAAGGGGGCTGTCGAGGAATCCTGGGAATGTGGATGCCACCGACGACTCTTTGCCGTTCTAAACGCCAGTTTCACAACAGACCCACATGTTCAACATTATTGCCACTCTCTTTATAATTTATTTAACAGATTGGGTACAAAGAAATATTGAATTTTTCGCTAGATTTGGTCATAAAAATTTCCTAGTCCTAATCAGAGATCTAGTAGATGCTAAAAACCTAGATTATGCTATGAATTACTTTCTAAAATCCTTTTATATATTTAATTATTTTTGATGTATTATCACCATAATTTCCAAATGTATTAAACTAGTTCATGGCTAAAATTGTTTAAATGATTAAACTGATGTTAAGGTCTAGGTTTAGCTCAATTGAGTTGATGTTGATCATCATCTAGCTTTGATGTAGGTTTAAGTTGACCCAAGATGATGCTTTAACTAATGAAAAAATTGTCTTCTTGTTACAGGAATCTTGCCATCGGAATTGGTATTCAAAATTTCCCTGAGGGCCTAGCAGTATCGTTACCACTGCAGGCCGCAGGCTTTAGTACTTTAAAAAGTTTCTGGTATGGTCAACTCTCAGGGATGGTTGAACCAATCGCTGGAATCCTGGGTGCTGCTGGTGTCTCTCTTGCAAGTCCAGTGCTTCCTTATGCTCTAGCATTCGCCGCGGGTGCTATGATTTATGTCGTTGTAGACGACATTATCCCGGAAGCACATCAGAGGTTAGTATAAACTTTGTGGCATGTGTCACGATCGTAAACCCTCATCAACAATTGATATACATTAGTTAGCTGGTAATTTCATTTTTTCTTGTATAATTTTCATTACACATTTTAACATATTCATATTCAAAATTGATATTCTTGTAAGTAAACAAAATATCAGCAGGTATTATTACACTAAGTAACAAAAAGAATTTTTTCTGGTGCAAGACAAAAATAATATCGTGAGATATAATGTAAAAAGAAGAGGGTTAGCTAGCCTATGAACAGGAAGGAGGCTTCGCGAAGCTTGTTCTCTTAACTGGTTCAGTCTTTTTTCTTTATCCATTTTTTTATCGCTCTCATCTTTGCTTTATTTTGTCTTTCTCTCTCGTTCATTTTTTTTAACAATCGACATCTTCCAACAGTAGTAGCATGACAGTGCACTTGCACCCGTTTCCGTCTCAAGTTTCACCCTTAGTTCTCTCTATTCACAAAGAATTAGAATCCATGGTTGGATCGAGAGTCAGACGTGTAGAAGGTGCTTTTCCCACCGGCACAAAGAGGTCTTTCCATTCATAAAAGTCCTTTTTGGGCACACCACTATCATGAGGTCAAGCGCAAAACAACCATTGGCATGAATTTAAATATCGCTCTAGAAAGTATCTCATCAATTATTTAAACAATTGTTTTTGGCATGATAGCTGTAACTTTTTTTTCAATTTTTTAACCTTGTGTTTATTAAAACAAATACAAAGTTTTTAAAAATATTAAATATATTTCAAAATGAATAATAAATAAATCTGATAATGTTCTTTTTAATAAAAGTATTTATAGTGATGTTGGAAAAACATGAATGTTAAGCAACACTCAATTAAATTTACTGAATCATCGATTAAATTGTTTGCATTGAAATATTTTATGAGCACGTTAGATGTAAAATTGAAAAAAAAATCCTCAGTTGATTGGAAACAAGGATTCTTGTTCGTTATGGGTCATTAATTTTTATTATGATTCAATAAACTTTATTAACTGCAATTCAATATTATTCGTTGAATAACTGAGATTTTCGTTAATTTTCTCATAAACATTATTTTCTACGCAAGTACTAAATTGTACAAGATTCATATGTACATGAAGAGCATTAATTTATTAACCATTACTGCTCTATTTTATGTACAAGTTGAAGTCAAAGTAAAGTAAGACACTAGGACAAGGTCTAATACCCATAAACTTATCACTAAACCTTCTAAAAACAATGTAAGATACTTTTTATTATAGAAAATAATTTATTTCTGTCACAAATCTTTTCTTCATTATAGTTCTAATATTCTCTGAAACTTTTTTAACATCACATTAATTAGAAAAAATTATTTTTATGACTTCTTTTCAATAATTAAATCTTTCCAATATTTTTACACTTACAATTCCGATTTGTATTCTCTTTAATGTTTCCAATTAACAATTTTATTTTTCACAATAATACCAATTTATAAAGAATAGTAAAATTACATAAAATGTTTTCTTTAACATTTGAAAAATGCTTACAAATAACTTTTTTGTGAAAATAATTTTTTTTTTGTTCTGAAAATGATAAATTTCCAGTTATTTTATTTTTCTCTGATTTCCCTCGTCACCAAGACCAAACGAAACATTCTAAAAAATTAATCAGATCACATGTAGGCAGTTCAAATATTTTTTTATTAATCTACAAAGTGGCTTTTTTGCTCGTGATAGCATCCATCATCATCAATAATTAAATATATTCCAACAAAGGATTCCAGAAGTTTAGTAATTGCAATTACTAAATTATTTTCCAATATGTGATTGAAGAAAACAAACTTTGTCCCCACTGTTTGAATATTATTAAAAGTATTTCAGTCTCTATTGTATTAAAGAATGAAACGACCTTTTATGAAAATCACACGAATCTCAGACTTCCACTTTAGTTTCATGATCAATGAGGTAGAACGACGACTCTCAAGCTGTGTCTTATAAGATTCGCAACGATTAGAGAATATAATAGTCAGTGACGTCGTGCGTCAAATCTTCGCACGTATAGCGGACAAGACGGACGTGGCGAATTTCTTTCCCAGGGCCCGCTAGACGAGCATTGTCATTGTAATTGGCTTCTTTTGTGTTCCGCGTGCGATCTAACTTCTCTTGATCCTAGTTTCTCTTTCTCTCTCACTTTATTCTCAGAGTATGTATCCAATGATGATCTAGACAAGTCCTGAGACACTAACTGGTCGTGCACTCCCTCGGGAATTCCATCAGAATCAACCGCGAGAAAACGTAAAAATTTAAAATGTAATCCATTTCCGGGAACAAACTTTGATTTCACTATATATATATATATATATATATATATATATATATATATATGTACAATGTATGTTTTGGGACCCAACGAGATAAAATCAGTAAAATATCGGAAAAAACCTTCTAAACCTGGAATACAGTCAATTTTAGAGTATAAACAATTAAATGAATAATTATAACGAATTAATTATTAAATGTATGTTTTACGGACTCATCAATAATCCGTATGCATTGGAGACTGTCGCTAGAATAAACATTTAATACATAATTGGAGACTGTCCCCGAAATATACATGCATAGATTGGGGACAGTCCTCGAAGTATACACTTAAGTAATTACAAACAAATGCTATGAACGGATTCAATATATCTTTTGGAGACTGTCTCCAAAATAACATTTGTCTGTATACAGTACAGGCTAATACTATGATTGGATTGAATGTATATTTCAGAGTCTGTCTCCAAAATATACAAGTATAGATTGGGGACAGTCCTCGAAGTATACACTTAAGTAATTACAAACAAATGCTATGAACGGATTCAATATATCTTTTGGAGACTGTCTCCAAAATAACATTTGTCTGTATACAGTACAGGCTAATACTATGATTGGATTGAATGTATATTTCAGAGTCTGTCTCCAAAATATACAAGTATAGATTGGGGACAGTCCTCGAAGTATACACTTGAGTAATTACAAACAAATGCTATGAACGGATTTAATGTATCCCTTGGAGACTGTCTCCAAAATAACATTTGTCTGTATACAGTACAGGCTAATACTATGATTGGATTGAATGTATATTTCAGAGTCTGTCTCCAAAATATACAAGTATAGATTGGGGACAGTCCTCGAAGTATACACTTAAGTAATTACAAACAAATGCTATGAACGGATTCAATATATCTTTTGGAGACTGTCTCCAAAATAACATTTGTCTGTATACAGTACAGGCTAATACTATGATTGGATTGAATGTATATTTCAGAGTCTGTCTCCAAAATATACAAGTATAGATTGGGGACAGTCCTCGAAGTATACACTTAAGTAATTACAAACAAATGCTATGAACGGATTCAATATATCTTTTGGAGACTGTCTCCAAAATAACATTTGTCTGTATACAGTACAGGCTAATACTATGATTGGATTGAATGTATATTTCAGAGTCTGTCTCCAAAATATACAAGTATAGATTGGGGACAGTCCTCGAAGTATACACTTAAGTAATTACAAACAAATGCTATGAACGGATTCAATATATCTTTTGGAGACTGTCTCCAAAATAACATTTGTCTGTATACAGTACAGGCTAATACTATGATTGGATTGAATGTATATTTCAGAGTCTGTCTCCAAAATATACAAGTATAGATTGGGGACAGTCCTCGAAGTATACACTTAAGTAATTACAAACAAATGCTATGAACGGATTCAATATATCTTTTGGAGACTGTCTCCAAAATAACATTTGTCTGTATACGATCCAAGCTAACGTTATAATTGGATTAAATGTATATTTAGGAGACTGTCTCCAAAATATACAAGTATAGATTGGGGACAGTCCTCGAAGTATACACTTGAGTAATTACAAACAAATGCTATGAACGGATTCAATATATCTTTTGGAGACTGTCTCCAAAATAACATTTGTCTGTATACGATCCAAGCTAACGTTATAATTGGATTAAATGTATATTTAGGAGACTGTCTCCAAAATATACAAGTATAGATTGGGGACAGTCCTCGAAGTATACACTTGAGTAATTACAAACAAATGCTATGAACGGATTCAATATATCTTTTGGAGACTGTCTCCAAAATAACATTTGTCTGTATACAGTACAGGCTAATACTATGATTGGATTGAATGTATATTTCAGAGTCTGTCTCCAAAATATACAAGTATAGATTGGGGACAGTCCTCGAAGTATACACTTAAGTAATTACAAACAAATGCTATGAACGGATTTAATGTATCCCTTGGAGACTGTCTCCAAAATAACATTTGTCTGTATACAGTACAGGCTAATACTATGATTGGATTGAATGTATATTTCAGAGTCTGTCTCCAAAATATACAAGTATAGATTGGGGACAGTCCTCGAAGTATACACTTAAGTAATTACAAACAAATGCTATGAACGGATTTAATGTATCCCTTGGAGACTGTCTCCAAAATAACATTTGTCTGTATACAGTACAGGCTAATACTATGATTGGATTGAATGTATATTTCAGAGTCTGTCTCCAAAATATACAAGTATAGATTGGGGGACAGTCCTCGAAGTATACACTTAAGTAATTACAAACAAATGCTATGAACGGATTTAATGTATCCCTTGGAGACTGTCTCCAAAATAACATTTGTCTGTATACAGTACAGGCTAATACTATGATTGGATTGAATGTATATTTCAGAGTCTGTCTCCAAAATATACAAGTATAGATTGGGGACAGTCCTCGAAGTATACACTTAAGTAATTACAAACAAATGCTATGAACGGATTTAATGTATCCCTTGGAGACTGTCTCCAAAATAACATTTGTCTGTATACAGTACAGGCTAATACTATGATTGGATTGAATGTATATTTCAGAGTCTGTCTCCAAAATATACAAGTATAGATTGGAGACAGTCCTCGAAGTATACACTTGAGTAATTACAAACAAATGCTATGAACGGATTCAATATATCT